AAAAAAAAAAAAGACTTATTAAATTATGCCATCATAGAGACAAGTTTCCATTAGCTCAGGAAGGCACCTTGCCATTGAATATAACAAAAGCTTTGTATGACTGTTACGCCATGAATTCATGGGGAGTAGGTTCCAGCACCTTATATTACCGTTCCATGGGGTCTCTTGGTTATCCTGTATGCTATGCTGTACACCTATTATGCCATGAATTTATGGAGAATAAATAGGTTCTAGCACCTAATATCAGGGTTCCATTGGTTCTCTTGGTTATCCTGTGTGCTTTGCTGTATGCCTATTATGCCATGAATTCATAGGGAATGGGTTCCAGGAGCTCAGGCTCCTTTCCGTTGGTTCTCACAAAGTGAGCTTCCCTGGGTGGAGCAGGCTGGCCCTTCAGTTGAACCCAGGTTCTTTTCTCTTTGGCTTCCTTCTTTTTCCTTCATGCATTTCAGGAAGCTGTCTTAGCTCTTAGAGTGCTTAAATATGCTCAATATGAACATTAATCCTCTTGGCAAGAACCTTGCCCTTAACTTGTTTGTTTACAATAGTGCCAATAGCACGCTGGGTAACGTCGTTGACTCTTCCAATTTTGCCATGGTAACATTTGTGTGGCATGCCTTTTAGAAAAGTGCCCATTCCCTTGATGTCTACAATATCACCTTTCTTATAGATTTGCATATATGTGACCAAAGGAACAAGTCTGTGTTTTCTAAAAGGCCTAAAGCACATGTATCAGGTACTTCTCCTCTTTCTCTTTGTGTTTGTCATTTTGGTGAATTACTGAAAGATGGCATCTCCAGCCAAAAGGAAAACATTTTCTAGTTTGTCTGATAACAGCCATCAAATGGGTATTATGTGATATTTGATTATACTTTTGGTGTTCATTTCCCTAATAATTAGTGATGTTGAGCATCTTTTCATGTACTATTGGCCATCTGTGTATCACCTTTGGAGAAATGTAAATTCAAGTCTTTTGCTCATTTTATATATTTTTTCTTTTTCTTTTTTTTTTTTTTGAGTCTCACTATGTCACCCTTAGTAGAATGCCATGGCATCACAGCTCACAGCAACTTCAAACTCTTGGACTTAAGCGATTCTCTGGCCTCGGCCTCCCAAGTAGCTGGGACTACAGGTGCCTGCCACAACACCCAGCTATTTTTTGGTTGCAGTTGTCATTGTTGTTTTATCTGGCCCAGGCCAGGCTTGAACCTGCCAGCCTCGGTGTATGTTGCCAGTGCCCTACCCACTGAGCTACAGGCACTGCCTTTTTCTTTTTTTCTTTCTTTCTTTTTTTTTTTTTGAGACAGAGTCTCACTTTGTCACTCTAGGTAGAGTGCTCTGGCATCATATGCCTGCCATAACGCCTGGGTATTTTTTTTAGAGACAGGGTCTTCCTTTGGCTCAGGCTGGTCTTGAACTACTGATTTGAGGCACTCCATCCACCTTGGCCTACCAGAGTGCCAAGATTACAGGCATGAGCCACCACACCTGTCTCACTCTGTTAATAGTGTCCTTTGTAGATGAAATTTTTCTTTTTTTCTTTTTTGCAGTTTTTGGCCAGGGCCTGGTTTGAATCTGCTACCTTTGGTATATGGGGCCCACGCCCTACCCCTTGAGCCACAGGTGCTGTCCTGTAGATGAAATTTTTAATTTCAATGAAGTCAGTTTATCTATTTGTTTCATTTTTTGCCTATATTCTTGGTATCATATCCAGGAAATCATTGCCAATGTAACATTATGAAACTTTTCTTGCATGTTTTCTTCTAACACTTTTATAATTTTAGTTCTATATTTAGGTTTATTTTGAGTTAACTTTTGTAGATGATGTTAGGTGTCCATCTTTGCATATGGATATCCAATTTTCTCAGCTAGCTCCATTTATTGAAAGCATTATCTTTTCCTTATTGAAGCATTTTAGCATCTTTGTTGAAAAATCACTGGACCACATATATGAAGGATTCATTTCTAGGCACTATATTCTCTTCATTGGTCTGTATGTCTGTCTTTATGCCAATATCACATTCTTTTGGTAACTGTAGCTTTGTTTAGTAAGTTTTGAAATTAGGATGTGTGAAACTTCTTTTTCTTTTTTGAGATTCATTTGTCTATTCAGGATTTCTTGAGATTTCATGGGTTTTGGATACTTTTTTTATTTCTGCAAAAACATTCTTGAAATTATTACATTGAATGTGTAGCTCATTTTGGGTAGTATTGACATTTTAACAATATTAAGTCTTCTAGGCCATGAACATGGGACATTTATTTGTGACTTAGACTTTGTCAGCAACATTTTTTATTTTTCAGTGTATATGTTTTTTATTAGACAAGTCCTTAGATAAGTTTATTCCTAAGTATTTTATTCTTCTTGATGCCATTATAAATGTAATTGTTTTCTTAATTTCATATTTAAATTGTTCATTGTTGGTGTAATGGAATGCTAGTGTTGTTTGCAAATTGATTTTATATCCTGCAACTCTTCTGAATTTTTTTAATAGTTCTACCAATTTTCATGGATTTTTTTTTTTTTTTTTTTT